TTGGTCAAATATGTATAGGGATATCAAGAAATTCCTGAAATCCTGTGATGTGTGCCAAAAAACCAAATTTTCAATTTTGCCTAAACCCCCGATAAACCCCATCGTACCAGTAGCCAAGGGTGATTTGGTAGCTTTGGACCTGTATGGACCCCTTCCCAGGAGTAGGGCTGGGGCCACCTTCTTGTTGGTCATACTTGACGTGTTCACCAAGCTAGTTGTCCTCTATCCTTTGAAAAAGGCCACTACCAAGGCAATCCTAAATCGACTAACCTTGGACTATTTCCCCAACTATGGCCGTCCTAAGAGGATTCTGTCTGATCATGGGACCCAATTCACTGCTTCCTCATGGAAAGCTACCCTCAACAGTTTAGGGGTTGTGCTAGTTTTCAGCTCTGTTCGGCACCCTCAGGCAAACAGTTCGGAAAGAATCATGCGTGAACTGGGACGTTTGTTCCGAGCATACTGTCAGGGCCATCATACTCGCTGGGCTTTCGAAGTAAAGCGTTTCCAATCAGTACTCAACTCCGTGATTCATGAAAGTACAGGGTTTTCAGCTCAGGAACTGCATTTTGGTAAGGACAAGTTGCAACTACTGCCTCCCAAATTACGGACCCCTATTGATGGTCTTGACCTTCTTTCGTGGGACCAGAAGCTTGTCCTGGCCAGGGAAAGTTTAGAGAGCAGGGCTTCCAGAAGAGCGGTGAACTACCCCAACCGCCCCTACAAGCAGTTCAACCCAGGAGACTTAGTGCTGCTGCGGGCAAACCCCATGTCTTCGGCACTCAATGCAGAAACAAAAAAATTTCTCTTGTTGTTTGAAGGTCCTTATAAAATCAAGAAAACGGTTAGTTACTGTACTTACGTTCTCTCTGCCTTGGACGATGATAACAAAGAAAGAGGGATTTTCCACATCAGTCACCTGAAGCCCTACGTTTCCGCAGAAGCTTTCCGTCCTCCGTGATGTCGTCGAAAGGCTTGGGGGGCGAAGATGAAACAAGACCTCCGTGGAACTCCCTCATCATATTTATGTATCCTATCGAATATTAACATTTGGTTGATTTTTTCTTGCCCTTGGAAACCTATGCAGTTCGATATCATCTCTCGAAATCATTTGGTAATAATTTGTAATTATTTTATTGTTTTCACTTTCATTTTCTGTACTGATACTTACCCGCTCACGCCACCACTTAGCTATGCAAAGAATTATTAACGCACTTGCCTCGACCTCGCTGTATTTTTACAGTAATCTGGCTAATGGGTCAATTCCCAAAATATATACTAGCGCATAACTCCGCAAGGTGTCGCTACTGGTACCGTTTTTCAATTATTTCCACTTGAGTGGGCCTCTGGCCGTTTTTGCGCTGTTTTTTTTGATATTGCTACCAGAATAAAATTCTTTTAATTCTAACTTTCGGCGTATGAACTGGTCTCTGGCAGCCTTTGGCTCGACAATTGTGCAATAATTTAGCTGTTCATACTGATATTGTAGCGATTTGGCCTGGTGCTTTAGGTAAGAGTAGAAAAACACTTTGTTTGTGAAATATTTACTTAATTCTGTAAACCTTTTTAGATCACGTATTATACAACGAATAAATGAATCACGTGTTCCATGGGCAAACTTTGAGTTTTTCATCCACAATTCCAACTCGTAAAGAACCCCTATAAAAGAAAAGCAAGCTGGTCAAGTGCTTTTCCCGTTTCGAGATACAATCACCTCACTTCAGATTTTTGTCTCCAAAAATTCCTTCACAGAATAAAAACTTCTTTCCAGCAGATAATCCTTCACTTTTTTTTTTTTTGAATTTTACGAGAGATGGTATTTCTTTAATATCTGAGGGCAGGGAATTGAAGAACCGCGGACCAGTTGTGAGGTGTGACTTTTGAAAAATCTGAGTGCGGTGTTGTCTCAACCTCAGTAAATTACCGCTCCTTGTAGGATAAGTATGAGAATTTCCATTTGTTTCGAACTTGGATTCGTGTTTTTTCACGTAAATGACAGAATGGTAAATGTATATAGAAGGTAGTGTTAGAATTTTATGTTTTTTGAAAATAGGTCTACATGATTCGGTATATTTCAGACCATATATAAGTCGAATTATGCGTTTTTGACCAATGAAAGCCCGATCAATCGTAGTACCATTACCCCACAGGAGAATATTGTAGGAAAGTACTGAGTTCACCATTGCATAATAAACATCGACAAGAATATTCACACCCAAAACTTTTTTGAGCTGCAGTAGAGCATAAAAACTACTATTTATTTTTTTACATACATAGTTGATATGGTGTTTCCATTTCAATTCGGTGTCTATATATACACCTAAAAACTTTGTTGTATCCGAAGGGTGTACAGTAATATTATTAATATTCACAGAAATTGGTGAATCCGTAGCTTTTCTACCAAAAAACTGAATTAGCACAGTTTTCTCAGCATTAACTGTCAGTCTATTACTCTGACACCAAGCAGTAAATCTTTCACCTATTATGTTTAGTTTGGACTGAAGTTGCACATGGCTGTCGGCTTCAGCCGAGATTGAGGTATCATCAGCAAATAATGTGATCGATGTACCTCCTATATATTGTGGGAGATCATTAATATATAGTAAAAATAATAAAGGTCCTAACACTGATCCTTGTGGTACACCGATATCTATATCAAATAGTTCTGAGTTAGAATCCTGCCATTTAACAAATATTTTCCTATATTTCATGTAGGATATAATCCATGCGAGGAATTTTCCACGAATACCTATGATATACAGTTTATCAGCAAGTATATCGAAGTCAATGGAGTCGAAAGCTTTGGTTAAATCGAAAAATAGCGCAGCAACATACTTTCCTTTATCAATACCGCTATAGATATTCTCCAGGAATACTGAAGCAGCGCTTTCTGTCGATCTACCTGGGCAGAAACCGTTTTGATACTTGCTGATAACATTATACTTCTCTAAGAATGGATAGAGTTTATTATAGATACATTTTTCCACAATTTTGCTAATAACACTAGGAATTGTAATTGGTCTGTAATTATCAATGATGAGCGGATCACTTTTCTTATATAGTGGAACAACTTTTCCTACTTTCAGCATATCTGGAAACGTTTCTGTTTCTACGGATAAATTGATAATAAATGGTTCACAGATAAAGTACGATATGGATTTCATGATTTTTGTGGTAAGGCAATCCATACCGGTAGAATTTTTATTTTTGAGCTCATTGATGACACTGAAAACTTCAATTGGGGTAACAGGGTAAAAATAAAAGGTACACGGCAACTTGCTCATATCAGTTGTACCAACTGAAACGTTATCATGAAAGTGTTGTTGAATACAGCTTGAAACTATTGTTGAATAATAATCAGCAAATTTGTTGGCTATAAGACAATTATCGTTTGATGGGAGTAAGGGGTTTGGTGAATGAGGGGCTGTATAAGGGTGATGTTTTCTTGTTTGTTTGCAAATTTTTTGGTCAGTCTGGTGATTCGGGTAAGGATAGGTTCTATTTTAGTTTATTGGTATAGGAGAATGTTGGGAGGGTTGTGAAGAGGATTTGCAGGGTGCCTTATTTTGGTAATAGTTCTTAGACAGCTTCTCTCCGCCACTTCCAAGTTCCGCTGAGTTGGTTTCCTGCAGTTATTCAGAATAACATGTCCGTATTCCAGAACAGGGCGGCAGATCATTTTATATATTTTTAGCTGTATTTATTCCTTGATTTTGGTATGTCAAGGCTCTGAAATGTTTTGATCTTTTCATTGCTTCCTTTTTTGTCCTTTTCGTTTGGGCAATGATGGAAGTAAGATATGGTGTGCGTATTCGGCCATTATTACATATTGAAAATTTCAGAAAAATCACTCGACCGGCCTACTATGATTTCTCTACGTCACAACGAGCGAGACGTTGATTCTACATTTTTCCGCTAGATGGTAATGCTGCTATTGCTGCTGTGACGAGTGGAAATAAAATGGCAAATGGCATTTCAGGTACGCGGAACATATGTAACAGTGGGATTATTCAACTCTCAATTCGAAAAATCTGCGACAATTTCAAAACTGACAGATATCATAATTGTGCAATGTCTTCATCTATTAGAAGATCGACGGAACCATTGCTCTGGCTGCTCTCGAGAGGTCAAGTAAAATTTCTGAAACAAAAGCGCATCAGTAATTACACCATATCTTACTTCCATCATTGTATAGGCTTTAAAGTTCAATTTGCTGTCTATAGTCATGCCAAGATATTTGCAGGTTGGTACTGTTTGTAGCTGTTGATTCTGCAAGGTTATTTCTGGAGAAGTGTTCTTGATCCTATGATGGAATATCATCAATTGGGATTTTGTTGAATTTGGTATATTTCGCTATTTTTGCATCCAGTGCGTGGTTCTGGTTGTCAATTATTGTTGCAGTGTTCTCATAGTTTTTTGTAATGTCCTACCATGTGCTACCAGTGTCGTATCATCAGCAAATTGAAGTAGATATACTTCTGGATTAATGTGGTTTGGGTTTTGTAGGTTGTGGTTGTATATGTCAGAACAATAAATATTATACAATATCGGTGACAGGGGTGAACCTTGTGGTAATCCTTGTTCTGGTGTAAAACTCTCGGATAAGCTGCTTTTGAAATTGACTTGGAGGGTCCGCTCGTTGAGGAAATTTTTAAGAATCCAAAGAATATACAGGGGGCATTGTATTGAGTGAAGTTTATATAGCAATCCGGTATATCAGGTACTGTCGAACGCCTTTTGTATATCCATGAATACGGCTGCAGAAAAGTTTCCAGATTTCTGGTTAGTTTGCACATTGGATGTTAGTATTGTAAGTGGATGTACTGTAGACTTTTTGGTTTTGAACCCATATTGGTTTCATTTTTATATAATATTATATAGATTATTATGTTAGTCTTCTCCTGACTTCACGGATGGGCTTTTCTACCAGTCTATGCTACTGAAGATGGTTGTTCTGAGGTTGTTGTTGAAAAACAGGTGACGTTCAGCTTTGTTTCCAGGTCCCTTCCCACCACCCCGATGGCGGCCATGTCCACCCCCACCATCAACAGTACGCCGAACGTGGCCAAATACAACGACAAGAACCTGAAGAAGAACGAGATGCCGAAAACGAAGGCCGCCAGCCAACCGATGGTGGTAGAGCCTTGCGACAACAGGTAAGATAACTTGAGCTGTGTTTCCAGAAGTTTCGATGATGTCTTTCAATTCAATTCAATATTTATTGCTTCAAAAAACGAAAGTTTTACAGTAAGAGTTTGAGGTTCTGACATAATATTTATAATGAGGCTATATATATTTTTTTTATCACTTGGAGCGCATGGAAGGAAATCCCTATAATGTTCAAATAACATCGTGCGTTCCTAATGAGGATAGGGACAGGAGGTAGATATTGGAATTTTTTTTGAACTCCTGGAGATTATATCTTGTTGGGAATACTTCCTTAGGCAATGAATTCCAGAGCCTAGCCGTTCTATGGATGAAGGAGTTTTGATAAAGTGCTGTTCGACATCTTTCGAGGTTGACAACGAAAGGATGTGCTGACTGGGTTTGTCTAGTTCGTCTGACTGGTATTGCTAGTGAAGGGATGATAGCAGAGATTTCCGAAGAACATTTCCCGTGGAAAGGTCGCCGACATTTCTACGGTGTTCCAATGATGTCGAAGAGTGAGTGAGTGTGGCGTCACCCACCAGGCGAATAGCACTTCTCTGGATGGAATCTAAGAGCATCAGCGTATGCTTTGGTGCTGAACCCCATATGTGGGAACAGTATTCTAGAACAGACCGTATCTGCGCTTTGTAAATCATGAGAAACTGTTGAGGTGTAAAGTAGCTTTTCGCACGGAACAAGTATCCGAGTTTTTGTGAAGCAGCTTTTGCGATGGATCTGACATGATTATCCCATGAAAGAGTGTTGCGGATGGAAATACCGAGCATAAATATGATGGGCTCGGTGGGGATGGTGTTGCCAGACATTACAATATCGGGCATACTGAGTTCCGCCTTTCTAGAGAAAATACAGGCTTGAGTTTTGGTGGCGTTGAATTCAACTAGGTTGTTGGTTCCCCAGGTTGTGATTTTAGCAAGGTCTTCATTGACAGCATTGACCTGCCTGCGCCTTGAGTTTTTAGTTTCCTGGGAAGAAATGGGAATTCTGAAAGAGAACGCAGTATGGAGGGTACTATCATCTGCAAAGCTGTGGATGAGGCAAGTTGTTACTTCCAACAGATCATTGATATGAGAAGGAATAATGTTGGTGCCAAAATTGATCCTTGTGGAACGCCTGACTTGATGCCAATGGTATCAGACGATACTCTGTCAACCACCACGTGGAGCGATATGCGTGAAAGAAAACTCGATTAGAGATGGCATAGCTGAGGTGGTAAGCCGTATGATGGTAGTTTGTGGAGGAGTCCTTCGTGCCAAACACGGTCGCATGCTTTCGATATGGAATGTTTCAAATATAATTTGCGATGAATTTTGCTTTGTCGATAGTTATATTTTCTAGTGCTTGTACTAAGTTATCTATATTGGATAGACAAATACAGTTTGCAGGTCTCATGACACAATATAATAGAAGTTTCGATGATGTCTTGATTAAACTGGTCATTGTCGTTCTCTAAATGAGAATCTACTAGACGAGGTATAGTATTGTCTGTTCATTGAGATAAAAAATCAAAAAATCGACCTTATCGACGATATTTTCAGAAAGCCATTCGTTTGTAACTCTAGAATTGTTTCGTATTCTTATCAAGATCTACGTTTTTGTCATGTTTGTAAACGAAAATCTCGTATGGAACCATTTGACAACAGGTAAGATAACTTGCTCATTGTGCTGTGTTTCCAGAAGTTTTGATGATGACTTGATTACACTGGCCATTGTCGTTCTCTAGATGAGAATCTAGTAGACGAGGTATAATATTGTCTGTTCATTGAGATAAAATGTCCAAAAATCGACCTTATCGACGATATTTTCAGAAAGTCATTCGTTTGTAACTCTAGACATTTTTTCGTATTGTTAACAAGATCTTCGTTTTTGTCAAGATTGTTACCAAAAATATCGTATCTAACCATTTTAAGTTTACCATTGATGGCCAGTGTTGCCAGGTCTACCGTTTTTCCAGTAGATCTACCGTTTCCATAGTGTTAACTACCGCTCTACAACAGAGCCTCAATATCTACCGCTGAAATAATTATCATTCATATTGCATACTTTTCATACCTGAATACAAACTTCCTATTCAATTTCATTTCAATTTAATTTAACTATCAAAATAATAACATTATCCACGGAAATATTACAATTTATTGATTGCGTGCGGCAACATCTCTATTTTACTGCAATTACAATTTTACCACACTACGAATTCCATCGCCGACTGTAGTTTTCGTATTACCTTTCGAATATTTGGCTTTGATCGGTGAATCTTCCATGAAACGTTGGCAATCGGTGAATACCCAAGATTCATAACTGCCACATAATTCTACTTATTGTTTGTCAAAAAAAATATCTTTTGAAGCTCCACGATTTTGAGTGACTTCAAACAAGACTGATAATTATTGTTCCTCCCTTATTACGTTACTAGTAAACCACTAGTAATTTGCAGAAACTGCGTTTTATTTTTAAATCTATCTCTTTTTTATGTCATGTCTATAGCTTATTTCATCATTAACCTGGCAACACTGGCAAAGGCGTATGATAGCAGGTATTTTTTTAATTTCGGCGCCAATTTTATCTTGACCACTTAATGGACTATTTTTAAGGGTACTAATTACAGTGATGAGTTCTGTGTCTCGAATTCGGTTAGGGGGTTCAATTTTATATGTCAAATGCTTGCAAACATTTGTAACTTTCTTTATAGTATGCCATATCTTTTCGGATTATCTTCATGTTCATTGAACATATGACACTTTGGACACTTATTTAGTGGGTCTGAGATTTCAGGATGCTGCTCAAGCTGAAGAACAGCCTGGACCTGCAAGTGTCGGAGGCTGAGCGGTTGTACTACAACTGCGACTATCAGCAGTGCGGTCTGTTAACGGAGGCCATCTTGAAAGTCGATCCCTACCACGAGGCGTGCCTGCCCATACATATTTCCTGTCAGGTCGAGTTGAAGCAGAGCAACAGTAAGTTATTCCTTTACTGTCGAAAAGAATTGCCTATGCTATAACTTATGGAGTTTGCATTTAAATCGAAAATATGGATTTAATCGAAGATTTTACGTTAACGGATTAGCCTCTTAACCTTTCTGAACCGATTTCAATCCCTATATTCTAACGAAAGGAATTTATTTTCCTTGTTGATTATTTCCACAAATGTCACTAATGTCAGTGACGGCTAGTGGGTGATTGTTTATAGTAGTATCTGGATGAATGATGAATTCGCCAACCAAATTTTTTTCATGCCAGGAGAAATACCGATTAAAGTCGACGGAAGAATGTTATAACCAACTCGTATATTAAATAAGGCGATTTAAGATCTTGAACATTAACGGGCTCGCGATGCTCGCACGTTAAAATATCTCGATCATTAATCGCCCTCGTTAATACACTACTATTAAAGCAGAGAATTGAGGAGATCTACAGAACATTGCAGTTTTATGTCTTCGTATGTCTAAGTTCTTATGGCAAGTTTGATACATATGGTGTTTTTGTGAAACGTTTTTCAAACCACTCTTAATGAAAGTAAAGCATTTCAAAATGAATATACCTGAAATTGTTGAAATCTGCTTCTTTTTTAAATGTAGATCTACATCTATCTCTAAATCCTAGTTGAAAAGTCAGTCCAACCAGACGCTCTAGAGCAATGAAAATTCTTTCCCAATCACTTGATGAACCCTATGAGATGATCATCATTTTGTTTTGGAAGAATATTTTTTTCTGGTGTCATATAAAGAATTGACATTTCAAATGAGGTAATGCTTGAAACCCGCTCCACTCCATTCTATTATTTCAGGGACACATTCAGTGTATAATATATTTTTTTCACCGCTAGCTATAAAACCTACCATTTTTTAGTCCTTTTTGAGGCGTGAAGTGTGTTTTTACTACCAAAGTAGTTTTCGTCATTTTATGAACCACTTGTCAATAAAGACAAAGCCACTTCTGTTATAATTCACCCTAATTCACTGCTCTGATGCGTCTTCACAGGAATGCCACTTGGATCTAGTAGGCTATCAATATCGACTTGTCATATTATGCTGTCATGGTCATGGCATATTTCAGTTTCACATAACTGAAATGATTGAAATGTATTGCTAGTGGTGAAAAAAATGTGTATAAATAACTATTATTTGTTTCAGAATTATTTTCTCTCGCTCATAACTTGGTAGACTTGTATCCAAACTTGGCTCTCTCATGGTTCGCCGTTGGATGTTACTATTACATTATTGGTGAGTGTTTGTGTGGGTGAAAAAGATGCGAGTGAACTTGTGAAAGGATAAATTGCAAAATTTATCGAATCTCCCATGTTCTCATTGGTCACTATAATAATGTGGCTGAATGGAAGGAATACTATTTTTTCATAAAAATATGAGAGTTACATGACAAGACATCATTAAAAAAATATTGCTAATCATCAATCATGAAATATGTCAATTCGATATCATCACACATAATTATACAGACACTACAGTCACAGTATTGCGAAAGAATTGTTTATAGCAACAATGTAAGACTTGATTATTACTACGCATGTCATCATTTTTCAGCTAAATGAAGCGGACATTTTGAATTCCTCAAGTTTACAGATGACTGAACTTGTCAAAAATAAAGTATATCTGGATCCATCTCAATATCGGCAAAGTATTTTTTCAGTTACCGTCCGGAAAGTAGCCGCCTCCCGGATGTTTTTTCTTTCGAGAAAGTAGCACATTTCTGGACTAGTCCGGGAAGTACAGGGTGCCCCTCTTAAAATTGAACCCCCTCTTAACTCTTTTGTTTTAGGAGATATGAAAAAATGTCAAATGAAAAAGTTGTTCGAAATGACCCAAACTTTTGTTTTCATGTATTTATTTTATACACAGGGTCATTCTTTTCCCGGAAAGGACATAACTCTGTTTTTTCAATGAAGCACCTGCTATATTTTTTTCATACTTCGGTTTGAAAATTTGATAACACCAACTGGTAGAACACAAAAAGTAGCAATTAGATTTAAAAATAATGAAATCGCGAAAATTCGTTTTGTTTTTTCAAAAAATCTTTGGAAGCATTCGGAATTATTCAATATTGATGTATTTTGGTTGTGAAATCGATAGGAATCGATAAATTTGCGACAAACCATTTCGAAGCAAGATTTTTGACGTTCAAACGCTACCAAATGTCTGGCATCCTCCTACCTCGAGGACGTTTGACACATTCATTAGAGGAAAGGAGTAAACGACTCTCTAAGTTAAGGACGAAACTTGTGTAGAACAAAGTGTACTCTTGTTTCTGTTCCAGCTTTTGTGTCTTTATTTGCTCTTCATCAGGAACTCTAATGTTTCACTTTGATTACAAACCCAAAGAAATTCATAAGTTTTGTCCTGAATCCAGAATATCCTAATTTCCATGGACTAGTAGGAACATGTAGGACATTTAGCAGTGAAGCTAGAGACCCTACTAGCACTACTCCTATTTTTCTTGTTATAACCAACTGATCAAGTATTTAGATGAATATAATATGATGACAGTTTGCCAGCATGGTTTCCGACCTGATCACTCAACTAAAACTGCCACTACTAACCTAATCCAGCACGTCTATGACAACATCAACGAAAATAAGCTTGTTGTGGCAATATTCTTTGATCTTAGTCGTGCATTTGACACGATCAACCCGAAGTACTTGCGAATCAAACTTGAAGCAATGGACATACGTGGGCCCATACAATGCTGGATTGAATCATATATGTCCGGCCGTCCGGCCGAACTATCAAGGTGCAGGTTGGGGATGAATGGTCAAATGAGTATGATATCAGAATTAGTACACCCCAGGGCGGAGTACTGGGGCCTCTCCTCTTCACTCTATGTCAATTACCTGCCTAATCACATCGCTCAAGGACGTACTTTCATCTATGCGGATGATACCATAATTGTTGTTATTGTTAACAATAGGACAGAATTGAATAACAATATCAAGATTGTCACAGAAAATTTCAATTGTTGGTGTAGAACGAACCATCTCATTAATAACATAAATAAGACAGTGCTGATAGAATTCACTAGCCATTTCAATTCAACAAGAAATCTTCATTTTGATATTTGTGACACAAAGAGCTCAGCATCACAACAAACAAAATTTCTAGGCTTGGATGTAGACCATAAACTATCTTTTAACAGTCACTGTCTGTAAAAAACTGAACAAGTTGTATTATGCTTTCAAACTTCCATAGAGATCATCTAATGAACATGTACTATGCTCTAGTATATTCTATATTGAGCAATAACATAATTGTATGGGGCAGGCCACAGAAGCTTCTAGGCTATTCATTTCGCAAAAGAGATACATAAGGCTTTTGTTCGTCCTACACCATAGAGAGTTCTGTAAAGACACATTTATTGAAAGCGGCATTTTAACACTCACTTCAATTTACCTATACAAATTATTGCTATACACGCACAATAATATGGGAAAGCTAGATAGAAACAGCGAATTTCATGAATACCCTACAAGATGATGTGCCGATTTTCGTCTGCATCAAATTAAAATAATGCAGCATAGAAAATCTCCTCTGTATGCTGGAGGCTATTTCTTCAATATGCTACCTACAAACGTGAAATCATTTCAGGGTACCAACATTTTTATAGTGCATTTAAAAAAATATCTTTTATGCACTAGCGGGCCGTAAAGTGCACTTTACCGCCTGGTTTTGCTGGCGTTAAGTCGCACTTTACCGCCCGCGGACTCATTATGGCCCACGGGCCGTAAAGTACACTTTACCGCCCGCTGTTCTCAGTTACCTTATATCCACATATCAATTTATGAAGAACCTATGATCATATTCCTAGATTCTGATATATCCAGCGGTATATCATAAACTTCTTCTTTATCCGATTCCATAGTCTGGCTATTATTATCATCAATAATTTTACTTTTCAATCAAAGAATGACAATAATTCAGCTCGTTTATTGGATGTATTGCTATAGACAACAACCATCAGATTGATTGACAACGTCAGCTGAGAGAGTTTTACTATTACGATAATTGCAATATTCGTACGATAATTTTCATATGTAAATCATCCATGAACATTACGCTTCTCTTGATTACTGAATTTATACCTATCAAATTAAAATTCTGGGGAATATTAGTTTATCGAAATCTATAGTCATTACTTATGAGTCAGAAAATAAACCACTAGTGCATAAAATTTTGTATGTATCTCGTGCGTGAAATGCGTTTATGGCCTTCAGCGTGTAATGGCCCTCGGCTAGCGCCATCGGGCCATTATTCACGCCACAGGCCATAAACGCCTACTTTACGCCCTTGATACATAAATAACTATTATAACATGCTTTTTACTGTCTTGACGAATGTCCAATTGAATAATTAATACTGTATACTGTACTGTATATTCATGTCTACACATTTCTTGTTAGTCCTAGTCCAAAACTTGTTTTTACATTATTACTTTTTTTAATATTTATACAGGGTGTCCCATAAGTAATGAATCAAAATAAGTGGGGTGGAAGGGGGGAGTCATTTCCAATCAAACTAACCGTATATGTGGTTCTCCAATTATTGATGGTTCAAAAGTTATTAATGTTTTTCCATTCCTATAAAAATACTTAATAACAATAAAACTATGCCACACTTGTGATTTGTTCTTTTACAAATTTCATTCACATTGATGCATCTTTTCCCAGAAATAATTTCATGACATGTATTACTTCTTATGAATTACCTGAGAAATTTTTTTTTCCTAGAGTTTTGTCAGCGAATGAAGTATTCAGTCGATACCCCACAAAGATGAAAAATCATAATAAAAAAAAGTTGCCCATTTAATACAGATTCCGAAATAGTATAACATATGTGGTTATTCAAAACAGCCTTTTTGTTATCAATTTTTTCGAAATGGGTCGCATTTTGCAGAAAAATTACTTTTGAACCATCAACAATTTGATAACAACATATACCGTTAGTTTGATAACAAATGACCCTCCTCACCACCCCACTTCTTTTGATCCATTATGGGACACCCTGTATAATCTTACCTATATTACTTACAACTATGAGGACCTGTCTCATGTTATGTAAATAACCAAAAAATATTAATAAAAGTATCTATCTATCTATCTATGTTGTTTGCTCGTTTTAAGGGAAGAGCGATTTCGCCAGAAGATATCTAGCGAAAGCGACGTGCCTGGACAGGTTGTTCGGCCCGGCGTGGCTCGCCTACGGACATTCTTTCGCCATCGAAAACGAACACGATCAAGCTATGGCGGCCTACTTCAAAGCTTCGCAGTTGATGAAAGGGTGAGTCCATGTTTGGGTGTAGCAAGTTCTGTAATTCCGATTATGTTTTTCAATGGTTGATTGAACTACTCGAATTGTTTCAATGATATGGAGTTTTTCATTGGTAATCGTATCAGCCGAAATAACATTATATCTGCTCATTTCTCTAGATTTTTGGGGTTTCTCTCCTTGTCTCTATAAAATAAAAATATGAGTATTATTTCGATATCTGTGCAATGAGTGCAAATCAGATGATTTGCCCCAGAATGTATCTGCGCTTAAAATTTTACTAGTAGAAATCTAAGAGAGATATTCAGTTGATAGTCAGACACCTTGTAATGAAAGATGTTCATTGAATAACTCGATAGAATTTCAAGTTATTTATCTATAAGGAATTCTTAAGTAGTTCATCATCAAATTCTGTTCTTTCATATGGTGTAAAATTAAATAGTACGTTCCATTTGAAAAGTTGTGTTATCTGCAATTTTCAATAGATAGTTAGTTAGTAGTTAGAAGACATATTACAATCTATATACACATCTTCTTCTTCTTCTCTGCACAGGTGGGCGGGTGCGTAGACCCCTGCACTCAGGCCTCTTCAGTCGGGCCCATTGTGCGCCCACTTGTCCTGTGAATCACCTGGGCATGTCGATTTTTTTTGACGAAATTCAGCAGCTTCCTCAGCTGAGTCACTTTCACATCCTTTGGGTGCAGTACAATGCTCCCAAAGGCAGCTTTCCTCTGATGCACCAGCGCGGGGCATTCAGGGAGTATGTGTGATGATGTTTCATCATCCTCCAAGCACCATCTGCAGATGGGATCATCTTTGATCCCTATGAGTTCTAGGTGCCTGTTGAGGTGGTTGTGCCCAGTTAAGAGCCCAACTACCATCTTGAGATCCCTTCTATTAAGTGACAGGATCTCTCTCGTGAGCCTTTTTGAAGGTTCCTTTATATGGAGCTTTGATTGTCTCATTCCTGGTGTGTCCCGCCATGTTTCCAGAAACTGCCTCTGTAGCATTTCCTTCATGAAGGGCATAGCCGTACTATTGGGTATTCCCAATATCGGTTCTGGTCCAATGGGTGTCGTTCCTGAACCGATCTTGGCTAGTCTGTCTGCCTCCTCGTTCCCTGGGATACCAGAGTGTCCTGGAACCCACATGAGGCTGACTTTCCTAGTTTTTGCCATTTTTTCTAAGGCACTTCTACACTCGGACACCAATTTAGTTGTGATCCTATTGGATCTCAATGCCATAATAGCAGCTTTACTGTCCGAGCATATGGTGACTGGTCCACGTCCACTTCTGCCGAAATTTTCTTGGACACACGTCAGAATTGCAAACACTTCGGCCTGGAACACTGAAGCGTATTTGCCAAGAGGTACTGAGATTCCTTTCCCTGTTCCTCCTTCATATACTCCTGCACCAGAACCGCCACCAAACCTTGAGCCATCCGTGAACCAGGTTGATTCGTTGGAAGGAAGCAAACCTGGTGTATTGCCAGTCCATTCCTCTCTTGTAGGAAAAATGAAATGCGGAGCTTTATTGAAATTCAGAACTGGCAGAGTGCTGTCCCTTACCATCAGCAGACTGGGACAGCTTCTATATACACATATACAGAGATGAACAAAAGTTATACAAATGAATGTTAGAATTACATTCATGAAATACCTACGATAACAGTAGAATGATAAGATTGAAATAACAACAAACGACAATATAAACATAACATAGACAATAGTTATTTGTTTTACTAGACACAAAGATCATACATACCCTAGATAGTCAACGCCTGTATAAAAATTGGCAACGTTCCGATGGGAACTAACAGACCGGCGGCTAATCGGCTGTGCTATTCGTTGACCAAATATTATTATCCGAGTCGGTGGAATACGCGGCGTTATAATGAATAGATGCGCACAGCGGATTATCACCGCCCTGTTCGTTCCCAATTTAGCGTTGCCCATTCTTACATTTATTTACGATGCTTATATAGTGTATGTATGATCTTTGCTAGACAGAAAAGTACAAGATTCAATGCCGCGGCTGGCGTTTCTTAGCCTAGACGTAGCCGAGGCTAGGAAACATATCATTTTTTTTCTCCAAATTCTTTTCAATTCCACGCAAAGTCCAAATAATCAATAATTTTTTGTTCACCCAAAGTCATTGTCAATTTTGATTACCAATTTGATTCAAATTACTTGGAACACTGCATAGCAGCAAACTTTTTTTGTTTAGGCAGTACACCTTTTCTGCCTGTTAAGTGTAATTAAAAATCCACTCTTAATGTCATATGGAGAAAAAACACAAAAAATATACATAAAGACTACACAATAAGAACCTCTCTTAGCTTTGAACTGGATGAGTGAAGCAGATCCCTTTACAGACTCTGACAGTTTATTGAACTCCAAAAATCTTTTGAAAAATAGTGAATTCATGAGGTGCGTTCGGTTTAACAAAATCGGAGCCGAGCGAGCAGATGCAGATTTGGTGTCACGTGATCACCTAGCAGATAGAGCTAATGGTATTAAACGAACGCTCAACGAGGTAGTAGATTGCGAGCGCCAGCTGTCAGAAGTAACAGAAAACAGAAACAATTCACTTAACCTTATTACTTTTAAAAACACGTCAGGGCAACAAAGTTCTTTTGAATGTTTGTTGGTTATATTTTGAAAATTACTAGGGAAGGAATGATTCTGTCTCATATGATCGGTCATTAACTGTGGATCCAGGGCAGTTGTGATCGCATATATTACAGATATATAATTAATATGCTACCTACAGCAAATTCGTCGGTCATTCTGGCGATTCTGGGCAAGGAGGATTCTACAAAATTCAGTTTCGTGTTTCGTTTCCAGTTGATCGAGTCTTCAATTTTTCGACATAAAAGAGATATAATTTCAATAACATGTTGTTGACATTGATTTGTTGACAATTGACAACCGAATAACCGATCAAATCTGAATGATCTGCTCCTCAAGGCGGAGCAAACAGATTACATCTTTCAGCTCGCTCTGACAATTAACGAACACGGAGCAGATTAGACAGAGGAAGTAGATCTGATTTATCGAACGCTTTCCGAGCTAACAGATGGAATCGAGCTAACAGATATGTTATAACCGAACGCACCTATGGTACAAAGAACATAGATGTAATTTTTACCAGGCGTATTATAATTATGAATATTTTTAATGAATGTAAGGTACTTCTGAAAGTATTCTGGTGCTAAATGATTTACTGTTTTGTAAATGAGTCTCGTAGTGAAATAGTACAATCTGTTTTCCACTGAAAACCAACTAAGAGTCATTAATATTGATCTAGAAGAAATGTATATGATTTAAAAATGATTATCTGATTATCTAATTTTTTTTTGCTCTTTTATAATTTTCCCTCCTATAAAAATATATGTTTCTTGAGAATAATAAAGATTATTATTATTATACTATAGGGGTGAAATGATTAGTTTTTAGCATTATTCTCATTCCACGGTTCTGGAGCTTCTGGAGCATATTCAATTTATTTAAACTAAACAAATATACAATGGATGAGCAATAATCAAAATGTGGCTGAATGATTGAATTCTACACAGTGATTTTGGTCTGCGTTGACAAATGTTGAGATATCCGAGAGAAAAAATAAAGTTTTTCGAAATCTTCAAATACTTTAGAATTAGTTCTAACCTTGAGGGTTATTGCTTCTGATACATTTCAATTTTCTCTAGTTTCTTCGGAAACAGTGCTTTCAAATGAAGAACATTCCATTCACCCTGTATATAAGGTATTGCATTTTTGGAATAGGTACCGCACTAATCTAGCCGGAATATTTTCAATAGCCCATTTCGGACTCCAATAGAGTAATCGGGTATCAATAAAATCCGTACACTCAAAAATATATAGCTGACAAACGAGTCCGAAGACCTATGCTAATATTGATGCCAATATCTCGGACTCCTCATATCGTACATTATATAAAAATTTCAAGAAAATTAACCGGTTCTTCTTCGAAATACAGAGTATTCATTGCAAAAAATCACATTTTTTCAAGAAACTTGGACTGTATCTTTTTATTCACCCTATGTATATGAAATGAGTATGCAACCATCTCAACATTGAAGAATGTCTGATATATATGACATGCTCTCCCCTTTTCGATTCAAAAAACTAGGGATTGACGTACCCTTATTTTCGAACTACCCTGTATATGAAGAAAAATTTCAGTAAACTTCGATCGAGATTTAGGAAGTTTGTCCAGGCTCAAGTGGATCTATAATTCTCATGAAAAAACTTACCCGGGTTGATTGGTGAAATCATAATGGATACGAGATCCAGATTACATTGTACCATCATTCAGGCATATTATTCCACGAATAAATAGGCTCATGGACACTTGCTTAGGGAGTCAAAATCTACATCATATCAAGAATTCAGGGAATTTAACCGAAAGCCATTTTCCATAAAGAAAGTGCGGGGTCCTTTGGTCTCTTGATATTTTTTTATTTCTGTAACTGTTCCACTGCCTCGATCTTGTCCCCATTAGTGTGACGTCACCTCATCATCCTCTTCAAGTTCAGATGATAACAAATGTTTTTGAACCTTTTATCTGCTGGAAATCCTCTAGACCAATCTGGAAAATGGTGGTTTTGAATAAATATGTACTCGGTTTAGGAGTTCAGGGATAATTTCTGGTGGTTTAAGTGTAGGAATATTTTAGTGGAGAATGTTTATGTTCAGGTCCTAGATTTTAGAATTCTTTTCTGTTAACATCAACATTACCCTAATCTATATCTAAAGTTAAGACTGTTATATATCGTAGGTAGCTTGGACGTTGTGGACGTTGTTAATGAGTTGACTGTTCAAAGTAATAAAATATAATTTCTGTTCTGAACGAGTATTCATACTTTATCAACACAAATAATAGCAAACGTTATATTGGCGCAGTATTAGCGAGATCTCACGTATGGTGGCCAAAAATGGACACTGAGATTGAAAATATGGTGTCCAAGTGTTCAGTTTGTCAAGAAAACAGAAATATGCCTCCGCGGGCGGATGTTCATTCATGGAAGAAGACATTGGAACCATGGATTAGGATCCACATCGATTTTGCTGGTCCGATGCAGGGAATATATTTCTTTATAGTAGTTGATTCATTCTCCAAATGGCTGGAAGTAAGAACGGTGCCATCAACTTCGACACAGTCAGCGTTAACGGTACTTCGTGAATTATTTGCAACTCACGGAATACCACTAGTTATAGTATCAGATAATGGGTCCGCCTTCACCTCAATCGAATTTCAAGCATTTATGGACACTAATTTGATACGTCATGCAAGAATTTCACCATATCACCCAGCTTCAAACGGCCAGGCAGAGAGAATGGTGCAAACTACAAAACAAACTCTGAAAAAACTCAGTGGAGATATCAAAACCAAGATATCTCGGTTTTTGTTGCAGCAACATGTTACACCGCATGCAACGACTGGGTGCAGTCCGTCTGAAATGTTGATGAACCGAAAACTAAGGACTAAACTGGATCATCTTCATCCAGATTTTCATGATATGCAAAATCATAGTCACGGTAACCATTCCGATGAATTACCATGCCGACGGTTCCAGATGGGAGACACAGTTTTTGCTCGTAATTATGCAGCTGGCCCGAAATGGAGTCCCGCCGTTGTAAGGAAGTCACTCGGCCCGGTTTCGTATGCATTAGAAACCCCAGATGGACACTCGTTGCACAGGCATGTCGACCAGATGCGAGGAAGACAGGGTGGCGTGCCGGAAGAGGCTCATGCTCCTGTTTCGGTCCCAGTCGTTCCTGCAGGAAGTCGAAGGAATGCCCCGGGTCACGTTGTGTCAGGGAATCGTCTAGGTGATGTCGAAGAAAATTAATCCACATCAGAGTCGAACGACACAGAATCACTAAATGGAACGGAAGTACCAGTGGACCAGGAAATCTCCAGTCGTCCAAGAAGGACGAGAAATCTTCCAGCTAGATTACAAGATTTTGTTACATAATTTTCAACTAGGAGAGGGAGTGTTATATATCGTAGGTAGCTTGGACGTTGTTGACGTTGTTAATGAGTTGACTGTTCTAAGTAATAAAATATAATGTCTGTCCTGAACGAGTATTCATACTTTATCAACACAAATAATAGCAAACGTTATAAAGACACAGGATATTATGTTCGAGAAAGAAGAAAACGGGAAAAAGCGTTTTTGTTTATCTGGTTTCAAAACTATTCCAAGACGTGTTTCGGATTCAATTTGATGCGCACCTGATTCTGCGCAGTCCATGGACCGTTTCAACAATTTGGAACACGAACAAACCCATTTTGAACGTGAACCAACCTCATGTTGTGTACAGAATTTCTGCGTTTACTACTAGCAGTCCATCTGAACGAACTGAGAGCTCTGTATTGTCCGATACAGAGTTGATTCATATTGAATACTGATATGAGTGTGATAAGGTGCATGAAATATTGAGAAACCAGGTTTGATTGTGTTTCAGGTGTCACCTGCCGCTGTTATACATCGGTTTGGAATGTGGGCTCACCAACAATGTCCGATTGGCTGACAGGTTCTTCCAACAGGCTCAGAGCGTAGCACCTGATGATCCTTTTATCATGCACGAAAAGGGGGTCATCGCGTTTCAAAATTTAGAGTAAGTAAATCAAACATTATGCTTCTAATGCTATTTTATAGATTCATCATTCAGATTGGCAATGGTTAGATTTCTTGAATCATAAGGTTATAAATCCCCCAAAAAAAAATCATGAAAAAATGTTTTTATCCTGCAATTGTTGTAAAAAGATTTTGAACTACCTAGTCATGATGTTGTCTCTCTTGACATAGTTGGTATCATGAAAATAGATACCTACAGATTCGAAATCCTCATGCCATTTCACGTAAGATGAGATAATTTTCTATCAGAAATAAAACAGTTTTTCAAATTTAGCTTGAGAGGCGGTAGTTTGGCTTTGACTTTTATTGTTATCATATTTTCACTCGACCATATAAACTACACAACACTAATTTCGTCGCACCCCAAAATGTTGCTTCTATTAAAATATGAATAACTTTCTTCTGCTTTGAACAATTCGATTTGGGATCACACTGTTCGCTTGCCTTTAATCTCGTACTTTTTCAGAACAGGAGGCATTTTCAAACGGATCTCAAATGAAGAGAAACTTTTTTTTTTTCAACTTTGACAGCAGAGGCATGAAGATGGCCTCAGTATCTTTCTTTTCTTCTATATACAGAGCAATTTCAAAATAATAACATCTCGGTTTTGCAGTCATAACTTTTTTCCTCGTCAACCGACCTATGTTGGTTCTCGGACCTATGTAAGGCATTTGACACATTAGATCATACCATTTTACTAAATAAATTATATTCAATCAGAGTCAGAAGAAGAATTCATGATTGGTGCACACATTATTTGACAAATAGAAAGCAGAATGTTGAAGTCAATGATACTTGTGGCTCGCCAAAGAATATCACATGTAGAGTACCGCAAGGATCAGTTCTGGGACCAATTTTATTTTCAATTTATAGTGGTTCAATATCAACTCTGAAATTGAAAGGAAATCTAAAATTATTTGCGCATGATACAACATCGATTTATATATCAAAAGAATCAAATGATATCGAACGGGATATTAAAAGTGATTTGGAAAACTAATGAGAAAAAGTATCTTGGGATTTGGTTTGATGATAAATTGAAGTGGGACAAACATATAAATGTTTTGAAGAAAAAAATATCTCCTATTATTGGAGCCCTGAGAAGATGTACCAAGCTGAATAAAAAAGTTGCAAATATAATTCTATATTCTCATATACTCAGTCGTATCAACTATTTGATAAATGTTTGGGGATACTGTTCAAAAAACAATTTTAATAAAATATCTGCATTATATAAAAAGACATTGAAAGTACTGTATCGTTTACCATATGATACACCAACAAATCAATTATATAAAATAACTGAATCGTTCTCATTAGAAGAAATGTTCAAAATCGAAAGACTGAAAATTACATACAATATCATAAATAAAAGATTGAAATCTAATTTTATTTTAACACGAAACAATGAAATTCATAATTATCAAACTAGACAACATGGTTTATTTCATCTTGATATCGCTAATACTTCTATAGGCCAAAAAAGATTCACCCACGCTGCTCTCTTGGAATATAACAAATTACCAGATAATATAAAAAATTGCAGAAATACAATAAAATTCAAATACCATCTCAAAAAATGTATCATTTCTGAACGAAATAGATGACTTTTTTTTTTCAACTTTTGATTCATATTCAAATTGATTTTTGCTCACCAATATGAAATGATTTGTCAAAATTTAATAATTAATGTTTTCAAATATTTTATTATTCATCAGTTTATTATAATTGTATAGTTTTAGGTATTATTGTTAACTATACTTCCTTATACCAGAACTTGATTCTGACTGGAAATAACATTTTCAATAAATAAATAAATAAATCATATTGGATGCAAATTCAAAAGTTGACTGAATTATAACAAATCTCCATATATGTATATCTCCAAGAGATTAGTTAATATTTCGAATAATGCTCTAACTTTCAACAATAGATTCATTGAATATACAGACGTGACGAAATTTTTAGGTCTCTATGGTGAATAATTATTTTGGACTAAACATATAGACCATTTGAGAGATAATATAATCTGATCATAGGCATTTCATTCAGAATCCGGAATATCATTCCCATAAAATACTGGAAGTGTATTTACTTTTGCCTCATTTATTCAAATTTGCAATATTTAATTTATATTTGGGGGAGAACAAATATTTGACGGCTAAAACCACTAATGGAATTACAAAACAAATCAATTAAATGCATTTTTCATCTACATTTTCTAGAACCAACGGTAATTTATACGAACCTAGACATTTTCTGATCCTGATTTCGTTATATAAACCTGAAATATCAAATTTTGCTTTTAATGAAGTAAATACAGTCCATAGTTATGGAATTAGACCATTGAATTACTTGATAGCAGATACATTCAAGTCTGTATTCACAATAATATAATTTTATACAATTCATTACCAAATGATACATGATACAAGAAGGTTTAAAATCAATCTCAAAGAAAAATTGCTCAGGACAATTTGAATGAAAAATATGTGGCATGATTTGATTACACAGAAATGAAATGTTGTAGACCGTTGGCCCATAACACTAGGGGTGTCGATTATCTACGAAGGTATGCCCTTCAAGAGACATGAAGATTGAGTTGGATTATCGGGAAAAAAGTGGTTAGTTGGATCGGTACCCGGTCGCCCATCTCCCTAATCAATCAACTTCCTGTTGAAAGTAATGTTGAAAATTGTATTATAGAAGAAGCTTTAAAATTCATTGGAATAGTCGCATCTCGCCAAATTAACCGGGCGCTAGCCGATTTGCATACGTCTAGGTCGGTCCCGAAGGGCGGCATACGGACCGCAAGTTACCGTTAACCGACATTTCTCTTAGATTATTTACGATGGTATGCCCTTTGGTTAATTCCTTCATTTCGACCCATGAATCAATGCCATAACATTTGCATACAGTTTGGGTGGGCGAATTTAGACTTATTCGAAGGTCACTTTACATCATCGATTATATATATCAAGATTATATAATTTTGTATGCCATTCAATCAGGTGATAGATTCAGTTATACTGAATAAGAAAATAGCGTTTGCATACGAATGTATTGTGAGCATACGTCGATTTTGCTATAGGGAGTCTATTTTTTTCAGTTTTTCTAATATTAAAAAGTTGAAACTGGAAATTCCAGGATGATCGAGTGCCAAGGTCTCTCAGGGAGGTTTCGGGGTCACTAAGCTCGAATCTGGCACCTACTACTAGTGCCGGGGGCCGGGGATGATAGAGGATGACTCTAGGGGGGATGTCAGGGGGCGCATCTCATTTGCAGAACCGGCAGATAGTCTTGTTGGATTCTATGAATCTGATCCTCTTGAAGTCACAATGGGAGTTCCTAAAGGATCAATCTTGGGTCCCATGTTTTTTGTTAATTTCATAAACGATATTGTAATATTCCCCTGAGAGGGGCTCGAACATCATCAAGAAGGCGTATAACGATCTTCCTGTATCACGCGTATCAGATTGTTCCCGAGTATCCCAAAAATTCTAACATGAATCAGCATATTTTCGAACACCCAATATGTGTCGCAGCGACAGAAACATCTCAAAACAATCGATGGAACTATTAGAGAGAGAGAGAGAGATACTTTTCTATGAGAAGCTCCGAGAACAAAAGAAGGGTACCGATGATTTTCGGGAACATTGGAGAAGCATATAGCCAGCCAAATCATCTGATATATAAGGACGACAGGACAGCAGGTGGTCAGTGTCAGTGATTGTCAGAGAGACAGCCATATACCGCGTGATATTAATGGTTCGACATAAATAGTAGTTATATGTTTGTTATAAATGAGTGTTGTGAGGAATCAACGATTCATTTTTCTCCGTGTAGGTATACGGTGTTCTCCAAGGTAACGAATTTGGAGCCAAAGGCGGGATTAAAGCTTTTCACAGGGTGATATGTGGTTTGAGAACAATTAATCGAATGAGTAGGTACACTCATTTTGTGAATAGCAGCTGTAACAGAGTGGAGCTGTGTGCCAGTTACTCGAAGGCTCGGGCCGCCCGGTCAATAAAAGTGTAACTGAAAATTGATTCATAGCTTCCTTGAGAGAATATTTCCAGAAATCACAAGAACAAAACTTGAGATATCGCATTTTTGCGGTTTTTTCCTTGTATTTCGTTTCCTTTATGTAATACGTCACCCTGTAGATCAAGATCAAAATTTTAAAAAAATACATATTTCGTACGTTTTGAGTTGAAAATATATTTTTTTAGTTTTTAGGCCAACTCTATGACGCTTTTGAACTGCCATCCTGAAAAAACTTTTTTTTCACGAGTACTTGCATAATTAATAGTTGCAACTGTGAATTAGGAAGAGAAAACTTTTTTTTTACACATCCCCTAATTTACAGTTGCAACTGTGAATTAGGAGATGTTTTGAAAAAAAAAGATTCTCCTTCCTAATTTACAGTTGCAACTGTGAATTAGGAGATCAACAGTAAATTAGGCAAATATCCGTGAAAAAAAAGTTTTTTTAGGATGGCAGTTCAGACGCGTCGTACAGACATAATAATTAGTTTCTTAGTGGTTTTTGAAGCAAAAACTGATTTTTCGAAACTTCGATCTCGAATAACTCGAAACGGGTAAATCGGGACGAGTTTTGTGTAAGTTCTGAAGTTAGAAAGAATTTGATTGTCGATATCTTGAGCTCTTACAGGGCGTTGAACGAATTTTGCCGCCATTTTTGCTAATTTCACTGGGCTAAATGTAATCCCCGCAACTCGCAAATCGTATGCAAATCATGATTCCATGCATAGTTTATGCTTAACTAACCTTGATCAAAATTTGGGAGCTTCGTAGATAATCTTGTACATACAGGTCAATGATGTAAAGTGACCTTCGAATAAGTCTAAATTCGCCCACCCAAACTGTATGCAAATGTTATGGCATTGATTCATGGGTCGAAATGAAGGAATTAACCAAAGGGCATACCATCGTAAATAATCTAAGAGAAATGTCGGTTAACGGTAACTTGCGGTCCGTATGCCGCCCTTCGGGACCGACCTAGACGTATGCAAATCGGCTAGCGCCCGGTTAATTTGGCGAGATGCGACTATTCCAATGAATTTTAAAGCTTCTTCTATAATACAATTTTCAACATTACTTTCAACAGGAAGTTGATTGATTAGGGAGATGGGCGACCGGGTACCGATCCAACTAACCACTTTTTTCCCGATAATCCAACTCAATCTTCATGTCTCTTGAAGGGCATACCTTCGTAGATAATCGACACCCCTAGTGTTATGGGCCAACGGTCTATTGTAACTTTCATCTTGAGAAACGAGATTAATTTGTTTTCGATGAGTGGAATTCATTAATTAACCCTTTATTATATATTTTTTCATGTATTCATGTGAAGAACCTCATGTTTCAAAGGAGTACGAGAAAATAGCTGAAGGACTGGGCTAGCAAACAGTGTGATTTGAATTCAAATTGTTCAAAGCAGAAAAAAGTTATTCATATTTCAACAGAAACAACATTTTGGGGTGCGACGAAATTAGTGTTGCGTAGTGCGTAGTTGAGATGTTTTGATTGATTTTCAGTTATGAGGGAGCATTGGCGAATTTCCGAGGTGCCCTAGAAAGAGTCAAAAAAATCAAAAAGGGAACAGTGCCTCAGAGGTGGAGCCCTTTGTTGAACAATCTCGGTCACACGTGTAGAAAATTGAAGAAGTACGAGGAAGCTTTGGAGTTCTTCAATTACGTGAGTCAACATCTCATTTTCAACTTTCGGAAAATAATATTTACGTTTCTTCATCCTTAATTACCATAGGGAAAAATAGTTATGTCCCTGAATTCACGATTTGGTAACTCAAAACATTTGCCAATCAGCAATTTTATGAGAAAAACTGACATGAAAACATTGCGAGACCGTACGTGTACCAATTTTGTCTAATGTCAGTTTTCCGAGAGAAATTACGGATGGAAAAATTTTGAATTAGGAAATTTATCCAATTGAAAAAAAGGTTTGAGTGACATCAGGCGCATACCTACTAGATAACACAAATCCGTTTTTCCCAAACATATACACGAATCAGAACAATCAATCCAAAAGAAGCGCCTGCGTTTTGACAAACGTCTCTAGACACGGTGCAACAAATACTTCATGTGCGGGCAACTGCTTGTGTTTACTAAATTATTTCTTTACTTGACTTTTTTACTTGACCTACAATGCTTTGTATGGGACTATAATCACAATTATCACGTCTTTAGCTCGAAATGGTTATTCATACGACAAGGTAGTAATGAATATTAGTATTACCTAGAGTCCCTGTATATACCTTAGAGAAGAGTCCGGACACAAAACTGACAGCCGTTGGGGTTTTTAATATTTTGTTTCATTTGGTTTGCCCACCTGACAATGTGACGAAACACCATAGTCGTCTCGCCCACTTTTTTTAATTATTACGAATTTCTGTCACTGTCATTCTGAAATTTTATGACCGCCAAAATTTTGCATTTTAAATTATTTCAATGTCCTGCTGCGTACATTATTGCGATAATTCATTAGAAAAGGGATTCGAGTTATTCCATTTTCCGAATGATCCTTTAAAGATAATGTCATGGAAGAATGCAATGGAACGTCCAGAATGGAAAATTAATTTCAAGAAATCCGAATTATGTGAGGTAAATATTCAAATTCACTTGAAAAAACAGCACGAAAAAGATTAATTTCAGGCCCATTTTGATAGAGATTCTTTCAAGCTGATGGATTTCAAATTGAAAGAGTCTGCTGTGCCGTCAATTTATAAAATAAAGATGTTCAAGAAAAAAAAGTTCTGTCGTGTTCGTATTGGGAATTACTGAATGATACGATCGCAGAGAAAGAAAATGAGAATGAGATGATGCGGAGAGAAAGGGAAAGTTTGAAATCAAAACTTGAAGATTTAGAGGAATTGCAATGTGCTATGTCATCAGTCCACGGTGCTTTTAATTGAGATCGAATTCAACATTTACAGGTGAATGTAGACTGCAGGAAGAGGTGGGAAACCGACACAGTTGAAATTATATTGAAACAATTATATATCTTCCATTTTTTTATATCCCAACAGAACACAACTAAATATATTCTCTTGACTATATGTGATACCAAGTAGGACACTCGAATTATCTTTCTTATATCTAATGGTATCTCAGGAATAATTGATCATGAAAATTATCGATTCGAAATTTGAACACCCTGTTGTTCATTATTTGAAAATCTAATAGTTATTCTAGTCAAAATAGCCCTATTTCTCACTTCTACCTACGGCATGAACGGTTTGACAAATAATCTAACCCTCAAAATTTTTTCTGACAATCATTGATCCTAGGGGAATTGAAAAGACAGAGCTCGATATATATGTCTTATTCCTTTTTTCAATCATCAATGCATTTTTTGAAAACAGAAAATGACAGAAGTATAGCTGTGTTTGGACTCTTGTCTAAGGTATATACAGGGACTCTAGTATTACCAAGGGACCAAGATAATATCCCGAGGTATCAGCCGAAATTTACTTTGGGCCCCTAGAGGTTTATTGGGCATTTCAAATCCCTACCCTTTGAATGCCTGAAGTGCATAAAACACTTCAAACTGATTTATCAATTTCTCTCGTAAGTCACTCTCGGAGACATTCTGGCGTATTTATAACCTTTTGCCAAATCTTCGAATATCTTCCAACCGCGCGATACAGCCTTTTCAGAGAATAGCGCGTAAGTCTGTTCCGAAAAATGTAGTCTCGTTACAATATCATCAGAGCTGCTTTCCAACTGAAAATTTGTTACCCCTGAAATGAACCGGTACTACCCTACACTCGAACTGAACCAGGATGTTGTAATGGGCGTATTTATACACCTTAGTAGAACTTTTAACTCAAACCATGTTTATAATGATCCTTTTATACATAAATAATGATTGACGACATAATTCGATCGAAAAATTAACTGGAATGTTTTATTTTTGGACATAAATAATAGTACCTTCTGAAAACGGACCCTCTTATGACGTAGAAACCTCATCTCGCCATAGTTGAAAAAAATACAAAACGCCCGACGGAGACTGAGGCAACTGATATATTAATTCTTTCAACTGTGATCTCACGCTAATTCACTCTGTCAGAAATCATGTATTTATCTCTGTCTTGAAAAGTCTTGTTTCAGTATTAGGGTTTTGACGTCACATCATCGCCTCGTTTTCAGAGGTCCGAAAAATCAGGGATTTCAATAATTTTTTACTAAAAGTAGGGATCTCACAGCAAGAAACGGTTTGTGGTGGTGAGCTAGTTTGGGTGAGTTCTATCGAATTATGAAATAAACATTTTTTGTGATATAAGCCCATTGGAACATAATTTTTATCCGAGTATTTTTAGTGACATTTCACTGACGAAATTTGAATTTGAATTTTTCATTGTAGTATTTTCATGATAGAAAAACTTGTGTAATGTCTCATCTCGCACATAACCCACAGGAAATGATGCTGAAGCAAATTGAAACACTATAGAGTAGGTACTGAAAATTTTGATGATTCGAAGTAGATATTAAGATGGAAAGAAAAAGAATCAGAATCAAAAATGAAGATACTTTGTTGTTGTTGCGCTCCAAGCTTTAAGGTAGACAGGTAGACCTTCGCTGGTCCTCCTGGCCAAATAATATGCTGTACTATATTGTGGAATTATGTTCTACAATCATCTCCCCGAAAGCATCCAATGCCTGGATGGACACTCATTCAACAAATAGATTAAATCACTATTAGTATCCAGATGCTACTACAGCATAGATGAGATGAGATGAGATGTCTGAGAGAGATTTCAGAATCTACTCTCTTTTGTTTTTATATATACGTTTTTAACCTGTGTGATCACTGTTTTATAATAATAATAATAAATGATTTTATTGCAACAGATAGATAGGTACACATGGTAAATATAACTAAACGAATAATGAGTTGGTTTGTATCTCAATAATCGTAATAATAATATATGAAACATGATTATAACAACTATATTTATGATATATGTATGTGTCTGTGTAAACCTAACTATGCAAAAGGCAGAGTTCGCACTTCTACAACTGTGAAGTTAAGAAGCGGCGCTCTTCCACTCAACCTTCAGTAACAAAAAAAAATTAAAAAAATAATAATGAAATAATGAATACACTCAATTTTCTTATACATATACTTATTAGTACCACCCTGACCTGTCCTATACATATAAATGTCTGAAATGATCCATAAATTATTTATTTATTATTATTAATATTATTTATCATTATTTGAATGAATGAACAAATTTTAGAACAAATTGATGATGAAAAAAATGTAGTTAATTCAATTGTTGTTCTCTACTTACATCTAATAAATAATACTTTTCTTTTTAACATAACCAAAAATTATCATTTCAAAAGACGCGTCAGACAGAAAGTGTTTTGCTTGGACATATACCTGACTATTTTTGTGTTTGTTACCCTATTGTAAAAGCTGGTGCTTGAGGGTAAGGGGGTAGGTAGCATTGATCAGTTGGAGTACTCCAAGCTCTTTGTAACGGGAACGCTGTTGATCAGTTCAAGATCTGCTCGGAGTTACTCGGTGCTACTCGCTGTGGCAATTGGAAAGCTGCACTATTGCGCATTCAATTCCAACTTTTGTCGTGCGTGTGTGTTCGGCTGGTATGCACTCAGACAATACCAATATCATTTCTATTCGACTGAACAGGCACTACTCAGGGGTAGAGCTTTTATGTTCGACTGGTAAAAGCGCTCGTTGTTGATTCGAATGTTTCCGCACAATGATTTTTGACGGTACCAAAGTTACAGGCTGAAAAATGCTGAAAGATAATATTGTTATGTTCAGATTTCGAAATGAATGTAATGAAACTATTAGCAATTGATTCCCAAATGTCGAGCAACAGTGATAGTAGCTTTTAGTCGATAGCAATAATGATATTTCTGAATTCATAAAATCTAAGGAAGATGAAACAGGAAAGCAGAAAATTAATGATTGCATTTTAACTACTATACACAATCGAAACCTCTGATTATATATTCACAAAAATATTTCTTTACTTATTATGCCGCAAATAATTATTCTCTTCAAACTTTGAAATTTTAGAAATAATTTGACAATTTGTCAACTCTGAATTGAGATATTTGATTAGATCTAGCTTGATCCAGCTTTAGGATCCAACCGCACGTTGTCTTCAACATACCAGTCGAATATTCATAACATCAATATTGAACTTCATCCATACAGTGCCGGAATAATTCGAATTATCCACATGCATCTGCTCTAGATTGGTTCTAACAGAACGAATTCTGTCTGAAGTCAGAGCAGTGGTAAATACGCATGTTATCTACTTGCTAGTTTCCTCTCAAACAGGTCTCTACATGTAATGGTCGACGGAGATTCATCTGACTCTCTTAAAATAAATGCTGCTGTTCCGCAAGAAACAATTCTAGCACTATTTCTACTCCATATCAACGATTTGTTGGAAGCAACTTCATGTGCGATACACAGCTTCGCGGATGATAGTACCCTCCATACCGCCTTCTCTTCCAGGGCTCCAATACCAGCAAGGCAAAACAGAAACGAACGAGGGAGAAATGTTGACAACATAAATAAGGACTTAACAACAATTCTCGAATGGGGATCCAATTACTTGGTAGATTTCAATGCAAACGAAACACAAGCATGCCTTTTCTCTAGAAAAGCCGATCTCACTGTGCCCAACATACGCTTTTCAGGAGTAACCATACCTTTGAAGACATCCATTTCAATGCTTGGTATTACTATCAGCAATAATTAACCTTTCTTGGGAAAATCACGTGAGATCAATTGCTAAAAGTGCATGCCATAAACTTGGTTTTGTGTTTCGGGCCAGGAGCTATTTCACTTCCAGTCAGCTGCTTATGATCTATAAGGCACAGATCCGACCTGTCCTGGAATACTGTTCCTATATTTGGAGTGCGGCACCCAAACATACCCTGAAACTGTTGGATTCTGTCCAAAAAAGGGCAATTCGTCTCGTGGGTGATGCCTCGCTCACAAACTCACTCACTTCTCTGGAACACCGTAGAAAAGTTGGTGATCTGGCTCCATTTTATAGATATTTTCATGGACGATGCTTTTCTGTAATATCAACAATTGTTCCTTCCTTGGCAATCTTCGCGAGATTTACCCGTCGAGTTGAGGAACACCAATTCCTACCTTATTTCCCTTGGTCCTCACGATGTTCTATGAACATCACAGGATATCCCTTTTCGTGAGAACCAGAACAAATCTATACCGTGTCAGTGCAATCCAGTCGAATACGCTATATTATATCTTCGATACAAATGGTGCGAACGTCATAGCTTCCACTGGTCTCTCTTCTTTGCAGGTGCTCCTATTGACACCGCTGTCTGCCGGAACCTATTCGGCGATTGCGTACGTCCACGTTCTGTTGGGTAATTTGGAGGAGGCCGTGGGATGGTTCCACAAGGCCTTGGGCTTGAAAAGGGACGATACGTTCAGCACCACCATGCTCAACATCGTCATAGAACGACTTGCCGAAGAACAACCACCTTATCCAGGTACGTTTGTCTGTTATTGATGTTGGAGCTTTTTCGAACCAGCTAGTGTGACTTATTTCGCACTTGTGAACTTACAACATGAGCCGCTTATACACTTTCCGACGATTTACTGTGAAAAACCTAAATCCGGTGAATGTCGAGATATACCGGTGAATGTCAACATTCACCAAGTTACTTGGGTTATGTCCGATATATTGATCAAATATAACTGACAATGTTGCCGGCATTGTGTTCATAATCACCACCACCTAGGTCTTCGAGTTCTGTGAAATCGAAGAAATCGCAAAAAGCCAGTTATAACCTCATTTCCGACATCAACCGAAGCCTATGTGTGTTTGTCGATACACAGCGGTGAAGTTCCAAATTTATAATAAAACTAATAAATGTTCGGTCTTTTACCAAAACATTTGGTGTCTGTCGACATTAACCAGTGTATGTCGACATTCACTAATTCCAGTCTTGCACGGTAACATGTACAATGTACATACACTATTTTTCCTATGACCTGTATTTGTTTGTTACTTGTTCAGGATAGAAACTGATCGTAAGCATTTCGCGGGAAATAATCTCGATAGGGTTACTTGAGCAGCATTGATATCTGCTTATTTCCATATTTCAGGTGGTCATTAGAAACTCCATACATCACTTCGTATTTCAATCATCTTTGTTGAAATACATGGCAGATTCAAATACACAGGGTGTTTCCAAAATTGGAGCGATCCTTGAAATGGGCAATAGAAGACAAAAAAAACAAAACGAGATGAAAGAATGCATTTTTGCGAGAAAAAAAATTACTTTGAAAGATATTGAAATTTTGCATAGTGTTCCGTCTAGAGGTTACCGACCGCGTCGACGTGTCCATGGTCTGAGATGTATAGTTTGCTGTATAATCTAAAGGGAGTTGAATGATTATTTATGATTTGAAGAAATTTCACCCAGAGAAAAGGTGAATAAGTTGCCAAACTAACCCTGGAGAATTAGTAGAAGAATTTTTTTCACCTGCATGTTAAGGATAGTGGATAGTGCCTCAAATCTGTGATAAATTTCTGTGTTTACATTGCGTGATTTGTATTAAATGTAGAATGCATCACAATACCAAAGTGAAAAACAGAAATTCAAGGAAAATAATGCAAGTATTTCACAAATAATAATGAAATTAATTATATACAATAAGTTTAGTGTTAATTGACTACTATCACTTTATTTCTATTTTTTTACTAGCTTTGTTTAATTCTCAACAAACCAAAAAAAAACATAATGAAAAAAAAAATGAATCCGACTCTAAAAAACACTTACCTATATTAAATACTCTTGAACACAACAGGAAATTCTTCTACTATACCAATGAATCTCATGCATTAGAGCATTCGAGATAGGAGGATATGATATAAACTATGAATTTTATTTCTCCTTCCATAAGAAGAACTTCATTTTTACCTACATTTGAAAAACATACAGAAAATAACACTATTTATTTCATTGATGCTAATTAGTCAGATAGATTGAAATAATTAATTAAACTTCTTTATTTTGTTACCCACCTTCCTTAGGTGAGTGTCATTGAAACTAACATTTTATAAAAACAGTTTGGACTTGTTCAAAATAGTTATTAATGATATAAGTGCTAAAAGTGACATTTTATTTTGTGAGAAGGGAAGTTCGAACAAAAGAAAACACACTTTTAGCACATATATCATACACTATTTTTTCTACAAACACCATTAAAAGTCCAAACTATTTTACATTATTAATTGATTAAATAACAGCCTCGAGATTATCAGTTTTGAATCCAATTCAATCTTATCTATTCATGAAACAAGTTACCAATGTAAACAAAAACTGAATTTGTTGATTTATCTTTCTTGACAACTAACGTCAATAAATCACGAATTATTCTTTCTCGTTTCTTCGTTCCCTGATGGAAAGTGCCCAAGAAAATGAATTTCTTCCGCCGCAAATTGAAGAAGCTGCCAATAAAGCTGTTTTTGAATTATTGCCTAGTAAGTCAAAGCGACAGTACGAGTTTTCATACGAACGTTTCTTGAAATGGTGTGATCAGAAAAATGCCAGTGGAAAGGAGGCCAGTGAAAAAGTGCTTCTTGCATACTTTGAAGAAAAGTCCAAAATATGGAAATCGTCAACGCTTTGGTCGAATTACTCTATGTTCAAGTCGATGATGAATATAAATGATCATGACATAAGCAGATATCACAAGCTTGTGGCTTTTTTGAAGCGAAAGGAAGGATATCGACCGAAAAAGTCAAAAGTATTGACAAGAGAACAAATCGACAAATTTCTCGCAGAAGCCCCAGGTGAAATATATCTAATGCAGAAAGTTGCTGCTATTTTTGGTGTTTTTGAAGCCTGTCGTCAAGAAGAATTGTGCGATTTGACATTAAATAATATCGAGGATTCCGGAACTTCACTAGTTGTGCATATACCAGACACAAAAACTAATGTGCAACGCACCTTTGTTGTAAATGGTACATTGTATATGACCTACTACAAAAAGTACATAGCCCTTCGTCCAGTGGATATTAATCATTCTAGAGTTTTTATAAAATGCATTAAAAATAAATGTGCCAGGACTCCAGTTGGAATCAACACATTTGTAAGATGCCTGCCAAAATTGCCGAATTTCTCAATTTGCCTGATTCCCATCTATATACTGGACATTGTTTCTGAAGGTCCTCAGCTAGTTTGTTGGCGGACTCTGGTGCTAGTCGTACTACAATTAAAAGACATGGTGGATGGAAGTCCAGTACAGTAGCAGAGGGTTATATAGAAGACTCGCTACAAAGGAAACAGAACATTGGAGATCATATTTTGTCGAAAACTTCGGCAGATTATATTGCTCTCTGCCCTGGTACAAGCTTCACGAAAATAAATTCTGTCACATCTACCAATGAGACTGGCCATGGAGTTTCGTGTTAGCATTGTAGTTTCGCTAATTGTACTTTTAATTGAATAAACACTTCATTTCGAATTATGTTTACATATTTTCTCATAAATATAAATCACTTCTAGCACTTGTACTAAAAGTGATTTACTTTTAACACCAGTGTCATAAACTGACATTTTAGACACTGACAGCATGCGTCAAAAATTATACTTTTACTGACGTTTGTAGAAAAAATGTTTTTTTGCGATTTATGGTGTTATTATGATTCGTACAACACCCTATTTCAAGGATCGCTCCAATTTTGGAAACACCCTATAATATCTGCTTTCATATTTTTATCATCAATGCCTGATGATTGCCAAAGAAGAATCGAGAATAATCAGGTTGAATGAATCACAACACTTGCTAAGTATCTCTGACCATTCAGGATCTCGCTTCGCTCTAATGGACGACTAGTTGCGTATATTAATAATGCGTGGAAAACTAAAAGATCGTTACTGCGCATGTCAGCAAATCCTCCAGCTACAATCAATCAACTTTACTATAGAAAAAACGAATACGTGTATTATGTGGATCAATAATAAGAGCACTGTGAACTGAGGCAGTTGATGATCTAATTTCTGATATTTTATTGCAAATTTCATGTCACGGTGTAGGTAATTCACAGAAAACATGTCAAAGAATATTTTGATTTTAGTAAAGTATAACAATAGCGATCTGTGTGAATGATAACGCAATTCATTCGAAAAGAAAACAACTAGGTGGGTACCTACATTTGAAATATATGTCGCTAATATACACAAAATAGAAAGCACTCCTAGATCTTTCAGCTCTGTCGTTCATTAAATCATCCAGAATGAAATGGTATATTTGAGACAGACAACTCACCTTTTTCTAGTCAACAGGGTGTCCCTCCGGGAACTGAATCGATCAATATAATATGGGAAACTATAAGTAGTGCAGATTTGAAAACTTTGTGGCATACTTTCAAGATGAATGTGCTTCCGGTTAAACCGGAAGTTGATGTCAACTAGCTTATTTCTCAACATATTTGACATTTCAAGTCAAAATTGTAAAATAAGTATAGTTCAACTGCGTTTCTTGATATGGGCCTTCAATATCTAATTTGTACATTGGTACATTCTAACATTAATCTGACAGGCCTGTTCAATAACTACCAAACAAATGCCACCTAAGATGATATGATCCATTCAAATACTTCACAATAATTACGTTCGCAAGCCTAAACATAACTATCAATTACTCCTATGTGAAATCTTGTATTATTCGATTGGAGTTGGTTTCCTTATAGAACAGGAACTACTTTAGTGTACTGTGTTGATACAGTACAGGGTGATCAAATACTTACATTTAAAATTACTTATAAAAATTCGATAATGGTCTTTTTTCACATGGAAACCCACTATTTTGATAATCTCATATCATTCAGCATCAAAATTGAGGGTGACTTCGTATGAGATTTTCTATTTAAAAAATTTGTAGTTTTCGAAATATTGGCCAATTAACATCTCTCAGTTCCAGAAAATCGCGTATTCTTGAGTTCAGTTGTTATTCTCAGTTGACCATGGTGCTCGCGGTACAGTCAAGTGTCACAGAAATGTCATTTTATTCAAACATGCCGGGTCGTTTGAATTATTCAAATGAAGATTACTTGAATCTACTTATTATTTATGGCGAATGTGATATGGTTATCTCAAGAACATGTGATACCTTTGCTATTCGATATCCGCAAAAATAGAAGCCCTCACAATACACTGTGACACTTGATTGTTTCCAACACAACCGCGGGCGCTATGGCCAACTCAGGATAACTGAACTCAAAAATACGCGAATTTCTGGAACAGAGAGATATTAATTTGCCAATTTTTCCAAAACTAAAATTATTTTGATTATACAATCTCATACAAAGCTACCCCTAATTTTGATGCTGAATGAAAAATAGGGAGATTCCATTTGAAAAAAATTACTCAACGATTTTATCAAAGTAATTTTGAATGTTAGTTTTTGATGACCCTGTATTTATTTATGATAAAAATATTAACACAGTACATACACTAAAGAAAGTTCCTCCATCTTGAAAATATCTTGCCAAATTGCCTCAATTAACAATAGTATGCCACCAAATTTTCAAATTCGCCCCACCTATCGTATTCAATATATCCCCAGAGGAACACCCTGTATAGAAGTAAATCCAGTGTATATCAGCAGTCTGGTCTTCGGGAAAACTAAAACATTAACTATTAATTATGATATGTCATAAGATGACGTTGGAAATTTGAAACTGCTATTGCTACCTCATGCACCCTTACAACTTCTGCCATCCTAAGGATGCGAATATTTTGTTCCTTTGGCATGTTTCTGCGTATACTACTTCATTTGAGCGAATCGAGAGCCTTGAATCATCTATGGGTTGCGTGCAAGAACTGTCAGATGACCGACCCTGGAGGTGGAACATTTAAACACAACCTCACTTTTCTTATTTGTTTACAAATGATTGAAATAGTATTTCACAATTATTTTGGCATACGAATCGTGTTTTTCGGCTATTCATTAATTTGCGCATGCCATCACATTGTGCTGTTGTACAATGCACAAAAAATGCAGCGAGAGACGAAGGAATCCGGTTGGTACATTATGATGATGTTTTTAGAAAAAAACTAACACATTTAGATACATACCTAATGACTCCAATCACTGTTTTCAGCACAAAATGGCAAGTTTAAATTGTCTAGTACATAGATTGATTTCATTCCCTCTGAGCAAAGAAAGATTCAATGCTGAAAAAAGTGTTGTTTATAAAGTGGCTGGCGTCAATGGGTATGATATCAAAATAGTAGATAAATTAATACGTAGACATAAATTCAAGTTAACACTTCGAAATTCTACGACTTTCCAAGTGGATAAAAAGAACTCTAGAAGAATCTCAATCCCGTTCAATCCCAAGTATACGAAGGGACTTGATAAGGTTTTCAAAGACTTAGGTTTTGAAAGCGTTTATCAGTCTGGGTCAACATTTCAAAATTAGGCAATTTATTAGGCACTCCGAAAGATAAAGTGGACAAACTTGAAAAGTCGGGAATATACGAAATAAGTTGTAATGATTGTGATAAAACATATATAGGCCAAACCAGGCTACCCATAAAAACAAGGTTCAAAGAACGCATAGCCCATTTGAAATATGGCAGGTTAGATAAATCTTGTGTAGCCGAACATTATGTTCAATCACAATCATAACACACATATTACTAACCTCAAATTAGTTAAGCAGGTTGATAATATTAGAAAATCAGACGCATATGAAAGCTTAGAGATATTTAAGAATAGTAATAGAGTAATGAATAAGGATAGTGGACCTATTCCATATAGCCCTCTATATAGTTTAGTAATATAAAAATTAAGATTAACATGTGAACTCAACCATGACAAACATTAACTTAACGGTTAGTATTTTTCACAGTTGGGTGAACATATACCTAGTATATAAGCAGCACACTAGAATAGGATGTTTAGTTTTAATCTTCTCCTGAAGATGCTAACATAGTTAGCGAAACACTTGTCGAGGCGTATAAAAAATCGGTTTGGTTAGTGGTAAAACAGTGTAGTGTATCATCGTGCCAAAGGTTCCAGTCTTCGATATAACATTATGATTTAAAAGTAAGTACCTACTATAGTCACTCACATATAGTTTTCATTTTGAAATTTGGTAATTTCTGATTTCTCATCGGAATTCCTTCTGCAATAGGAGTTAATAGAAATACTCGTGAAATTTCTTAAACAATGCAAGAAGATTGGATTCATGCAATCAAACGGGAGGACTGGTCTGACATGGTGACGAATTATGATCGTGTTTGTAGACATTTTCAATCTATTAGCAGTTTTAGCTTCTATTGCAAAAGTGGCAGAAGGAATTTGAAATAGCTATTGCAAAAGTGGCAGAAGGAATTTGAAATAGAAATGACAAAATTTCATAATGAATGTGATGTGATATTACTATTTACCTGAAAAGTCATATTTCTTCGTCTCTTGCTGCATTTTTTGTGTATTGTACAACAGCACAATGAGAAGGCATGCTTGAATTAATGAATAGCGCAAAAACACGATTCGTATGCCAAAATATTGTGAAAAACTATTTCAATTCTTTGATTCCTCTGTAAACAAATAAAAAAGTGAGGTTCTGTTTCAATGTTTTACAGAAAAGTGAGGCTGTGCTTCAATATTTTACCTCCACGGTCGATCATCGTGCACGCGACCTATAGTAGGTAATAATAAGTGAGCTTTTTTCTCTTCAGAAGAGTAAAAATTACCGTCATCAAGATGGGATGGTATAGGTCATATTAAAATGTCATTGCCAAAAAGTAAATGATAATCTGACATATTTTTCCCCTTTCTGACTGAAATAGAGAATGGATGTGAGTCGTTACGCAATATGGTTGCATTAGAATCGGTCTCTATGGATGTGGTGAAATATAGTCGTAATAATAATAATACCATAATACAATAATTACCTACTAAAAAAATCTACAAAGCTCTGTGGAGAAGACGATTTGTAATACCTAGTGAACTAGTTTTGTGTTGGTATTTTTTTCACTGACACATTGTTAACTTCGGTTATATTTCAATATCCTGGTCAGTCATGAGCATATGGGGACACCCATGAACAGACACAATTTTACTTTGAGTGATAATGTTTTCCGCTCACAGATTGTCCCATTGAAATACCGAAATTCAGTGTAGAACCAAAAGGATCGACCATAAACGCTAGTGAGAGTATGGTGGAGGACGCTAGCTCTGTGATACCTAGTGTGAACAACGCATTGTCTGACATGAGCATGAGTATAGAAGTGGATATGGAGGATGCAAGTAGCATAGTTAAGGAATAAAGTTCAAGGTTGTGAATATTTTTTTAAATAAACCCTAATATAACCACATTTGTTCGCTTGATTTCACAGCATTGTATCAGCATAGAAATATTGAAGCTAAGAGTCATATCGCAAGATGACAAGCGGCCTGATTTTTTTTTATTTTCATTCAAAATCTTCGCACCATTGCTCTCAATTTTTATATTCCTCATACGATATGATTTTATAATTTCAAAATGACAAATACAGTTGCAATGTCATTCGAACTTTCGGAAATTTTCCACTCATTGAAACTGACTCAACTCAACCAGGCTTCTAAAGGCGATAGAAGAACTGCTCGAAAAGCATGTAAAGAACAACCTACTGACTGAAAGGCCAGTTTAACTCCATCAACATGCATACCAAGCCAGCAAATCATGAGTCTGCGATGCATCATTTAGTGTCAAGAATTGACGCACAGATATCAACCAAGAGGTGGCTCTAAGAGTATTTTCTAATTTGAGAGGGTGTTTAACAACATAACCCTCAAATTCATGACACCGGCTGCTAACAATCGTGCAGTTGACAACACTTGTAGGGGTATTGATATCATGGTGAAGGTTGGAGGCAAGTTCAAGCTAGAGTGCCGCGAGTATCTCATTTCACGCTCACTAATGTGTTTTATAAGAGATGGAATGTCTTTTTTCTGTATCCCTTTATTGAAGGAGTGTAGACATATTATTATTTGAAACCATAACAGTGGTTTATTTCCATGAAATGAATATTGGAATTTGAAGCTCAAACAAACACTGAATTGTCTTCTCGTCTTTTGGCAACTCAAATAAATGGTACCCATCATTCATAAAATGTTTGCAATTCGTTACTTAACAAAACTTATTCGAAAAAATTTTCGCAGGGTCGCCTTGGTTTAGTCTAACCGTAACCCATATAAGGGGCATGGATGCGAAAGGTCGGGTAGTTCTGATTTTTTGATATGTTGTTATTGAAAACCCCAAGTTCTCGACCCCGACAATGTGCTGGAAGCGCCGCCAGCGCCGAAAAACCACGAAATTTTCGACTTTGCTCTAGTTTTTTGAAAGTTTCAGTATGAAGGATTATCTTGACAAGAAAAATGAATCAGTAATTTTTTGAAGAACAGTAAATTTTCTACCAACTTAAACAAAAATCATTTTATTGGAGATAATACTTTTTGAGTTACAGCTATTCAAAATTCGAGTAAACTTTCAGAATCTCAAAAAATTACTAGTTTACAGTTATTATTTGGGATTTTTCACTGTAAAGCAATATTTTATCAGCAAAGTGGAATGAAACGAATTTTGAAGATAAGAAATGAAGCTTTGATTGTGGACTTCTTGTCATGGATAGCTTCTGATATACAGGTATTTAGATTTTGTGTTCATTTCCACCAATCAAATAACATCATGAAATGTAAAAAGACAACTGGGTAACTGAAAAATAAGAGGTTGTACTAATGGTAAAATCACCTTTGCTTTCGAAGAATAATTTTTTGCATTTTCATGTTGAGAACTGGAGCAGATTCATTCTAAAAATTTGATATTTTCTATATTTCTTCTCTTCAAACATTTTTCCAAACAAAGTGTCACTGACAAGCTATTGGATTTTTTTTTAGGCTCCCTGATAAAAAAATATTGAAATAATACTCATATTTTCATTTTATAGAAACGAGGAGAGAAAATCCTAAATAATCAAGTAAAATGAATATAAAATGTTAGTCTAATTACTTATTTCGGCAAGTTGTCATCCTCATTAGAACTGAAAAGGAGATACAGATTCTATAGTATAATTAGTATATTTCGAGATAATATTCAGAGGTTGATTGTAGAAGCGATATTCTATTTATAACAAATTATTTCATGGTTCCGAGAAAGGTTTTGGTTCAATGAACATCATGTTAAAAAATATCAAAAAGTTTGGAACTGGAGATGAGTCCTAAATGTAAATACTTTTCAATCTCTTCAGTTCCCTATTTTTCATTGCATGTACAAGAAGTCTTGAATTATCTAAAGTGATAGAGTGGCTAGTCTCAAGAATAACACTCAATTCATCAAACCATGCCGATGCTTCGACGTGTTTGCCCAATCATATTAGTCATCACAGTAGTTCATCTCATTAAAATGTCTGATTTATAATTAGTATAAATTATATTTTTAGGGTTGTCTAGAAGAATGTTATTCTCATTGGGGACCGAACGCAGCTTTTACCGCAGCTAATCTCTATTTCCTTATCAGTTCTACTGAGGATAGCAATTTAGGTTCCAAAATACGTATTCATTTTTTTTTTAATATTAGTGTGGTATTCTGGGTATATTTTGTATTGGAATGTGGGATGATCACATCATAAATACTCATAATTATTAATAAATAGTTGAACATTTCAATCGGTATATGTGAAATCAAGAAATAGGTAAGAAATATATTGAAATAAATGGAAAAAAGGAAGTTCAATAAATATTTCGGAAAGCTGATGACATGAAGAAATAACACCTAGTATAGCAACTGTTTCCTAATCAAGTTCGGAAGCGATTTCTCACGATCCATCAGGAATAAAAATCTGAAGAAAATGCAAATAAATTCATTCATTCATTTTATTTATGCTCGACGATAGAAAGGATGATGCTGATACACTCTGTATATACCTACCTGTACAGTATAGAAACTGATTATGCCATTTTTGAAGCAAAATTAAACACGTAAAACAGGTCAAATATTCGCTTCGAACAAGTGAAATGGACAAAAACATGAATTCCGAAATCGCCGTGATTGTTTTTATGTACTTTTTTCATGCTTTGTTGAACGGTCTCTAGGCGTTGCCAAATCGTCCCCATATCAAAAAGTTTCCTGAGAGGAAATATTTATACAGGGTGTGTCAGGGTGTTACATGATAGCAAATATTGGTTCATTTTACATACAAATATTATTCCAGATGTTTTGGGATTTTCTCTCCTCGTTTCTATAAAATAAAAATATGAATATTATTCCAATATACGTGTAGTAAGGACAAATCAGATGATTTGCCCCAAAATGTCACTGCGTTTAAATGATTTTCCTATCAGAGAGCCTAAAAGAAAGTCAATAGCTTGTCAGTGACAATTTGTATTGAAAGAAGTTTGGAGAAGATAAATAAAGGTATATAGAAACAATATCAAATTTTTACATAGCTTTTGGACGTTTCGGGAACGAATCTGCTCCCGTTTTCAACATAAAAACTCTGGAATAATGAATGTACCACCTCCTCGATTAACCTACAGATAGTATACTTACATATATTTGGTCCCTACTTGTCAATTTCAACTCGATTGATTTAGCTAACTGAAATATTCATAATGTATGATTTTCAGGACCGGACTTGACAATTTGAATATTTCAATATGATTGTTTGAAACAACAACCTGAAACAAAGGAAAGAAGGAATGCTCGAAGTCATCTCCACAAATTTCGACATGTTTCGGTCTTATGAAAGACAATCTTCAGCCTAATTGAAAGTTTTGGTGTTGAAAAAATGTGATGCTACTAGTTGTGGAATTGTGACAGTGAATCTACCTACCGCTTTTTCAGCAACCGAGTTCCGTGAATAACCTTTTTTCAGGATCCAACCGAACATTTCATATTTAAGGGAAAACGGTAAAGGTGCACTTATCATGCGAAGGTTTTTTTGTACTTATGTATTTTCGTCTGAGAAACACGAATTCCACAATGAAAATGTGAAAAAAACACTATTTATCCAGATATTTCACGAAAAAGTTCGAAATTTCACCTTCTTTTGCCATCCATCTTGGATATTCATCTACTACTACTTGTCCTTTTTTCATCACATACGTTGTATTTATATTATATGCAAATGAAAATCCGAATTATTGAATTGAATATAAAAATAAGAAATGAACAATTGTAACAAACTTCTCAGATGAAATATCTTGGCATTTGGATTGATGATAAATTGAGGTGGGAAAAACATATTGATAATCTAACGAAACAAATTTCTTCCATTATTGGGGATATTTTTATTCCAACTTTATGGTCCTCAATCGAGCAAACATCCACGAAATCATTTATTTCTGAATGTTCAACAATAACTTTGTTTTATCTCTTGGAGCACACGAAAGGAAATTCCTATTATGTTCGTGGAACATCGTGCGTACCTAGGGAGGATAGGGGGAGGCCTTTTAAGCCAGTTCAACACTATTTTGTATATCAAGCTAAGCATATTTTTACTCTAGAACTATATTTTTTGACGTTTGTAGAAAAATGTTGTTTGCAACTCGAGCGCGAAATACTTTGGTCATCTCGACTATTTCTTTAACTCGGCTACGCCTCGTTAAAAAATCAGATCTTGATTACCAAAGTAGCATTTCGCGCTCTAGATACAAAAATAACTATTATATTCACATATTCTCAGTAGAATCAAATATTTAATCAATATATGGGTATCATGTTCTAAAAATAATTTCAATAAAATCTCTGCTGTTTATAAAAAATCATTGAAAGTAGTGTATCTTCTACCATTTAACACTCCAACAAATCAACTTTATTCCATGACTAACACATTTTCTTTGGAGGAACATTATTATGCAATGGACACTCAAATTATCATATCTTATTATCGATAAAATGATGAAATCCAATTTTATATTTACTAGGAATTCAGAAATTCACAATTATAATACAATACAACATAACTTGTTCCATCTTGATTCTGCAAACTGTGTAATTGGTCAAAAAAGATTTACGCACGGAGCACATTCAAAATTTAATGAACTACCACAAGACATAAAAAATTCTAGGAATATTACTGAATTCAAAATAAAAATAAAAAAATATTTTCTTCAAAAATGAAATCAAAGTGGTTTATTTCTTTGTTTCTCTTTCTTTTCATTTTTTTTAGTAATGTTCAATTAAATTTATATGCAGTATGATGCAAATGTATGGAATAAATTCATTTCAAAACAAGACGACTTCCGGAAAATATCCAAATACTAGAGTTTGGAACTTTTTTAATTCATGTATTTTTTCAACTAGACGACCCTTCGATGTTCAATTCTCAGTAACATA